AAAATCCGTAAATTAAAATGTCAGCGTGAACACCTCAAGCTTATTGCCAGTAAAAAAATTTACACATAGACCAAACTACATGAGCTTCGAAACGATTAGACCAAACTACATGAGCTTCGAAACGATTTGCAGCTTGGGGTTCATTCATTATTTGATAACCTTTTAACACCAAATATTTATTAACACTGGTATTATTTATGGTATTCCGCTTGACAAAATACTGCAGTAGCGCGCGATCCGGGGATCAAATCTCAGATCGGCTCTCAGGACAACCAAGCCTTCTAACCCCGAGAACCATGAAGCGGTACAAGATCGTCTGGGAGAGTAAAAACACTGACTTGTACATCGGCTGACCCCCGCGCAAGTTACTCTAGAGCCCATCGCATTCAAAATGCCTCTACAGTAGTACGCGTAACACATGCAAAAAAATCCTGGAAAGGTACTGATCAACTGTGAAAGCTCTATCATTGAGCTTTTTCGATATATAGCGCTTATTCATCACAACTGCAAACCGTGAGTTCCTAAACATCTGCAAAATTTAATTATTTGTTAGCATATAGCGTGCACCATCGACAGCCAAAAGGTTCATTCATGAGAACTACTGGGCGCGATTTGCCTCGCTGTGAGAGCGCGGAACTCTGACTGTACTTGACAACAGAAACCTTTCTCTAGAAATTTCTCAAGTAGTTAAAATTGAATGCCACAATATTTAAAATGTCATCTTCACACCCACCTTATCGAACGTATTACTTCTACATATAGTGATATGTCCAATAGCGTCACGTAACTCGTCCACTGAAGCATTCATAGTCCTCACTGAATCGGCTGGTCGTATCGTTAGATTACGAATTTTCGACTGTTGTAAAGCATTTTCGTCCTAGGAAATGGGGTCCTTGTGAATCAAATAGACCTTACAAAATCTGGTAAATCGTCACCTCATCGCTGCTACTGCATGATGACCAATTCGTATCCTCTTTGTCGTTTTCGTTCTCTCGTATCGTATAACCCTCATCGTCTATCGGAGGTGGTGGGGGTGGGGCTAATGGCAGATCGAGAAGACTCGTCGAACCGTTGATCCGCTAAAAATTATGCAAATTTTTTCAATTGGGAGATGGACAAGACAATCGTAACATGCCGCGCCATTGTACCAGGTGCGCGGCGATTTCCAGGTATGCATAAGTTTGCGGACTGAACAGCGGAATCCATACTCTCAAAGACTCTAATCCGAGTGTTAACCAGTCTCCCCATCTTTGCACTCAAACCCAAAGTATAGGACGGAAGAACTCGTCCCTCGTGTAACTTTCCTCGTGTAAGCGGCGTCGCTCGCCCCGCCCAGCGCGGGATATTGCGAGCGCTTTGTCATATACCTCACGGTGTGGGAAGGGGGGGGGTACACTTGTATGCGCTTGTCAGCATACCTGACCCTGCAAATTGAGTACATGTCAACACCGGACAACCTTGCCAGCACTTTGTAAACCTTGCTAACGCCTGTCAAGCACCCTGTAAACTCCTGTCAAACTTGTCAAAATAACCGGTCAACTTCCGGAAAACATGGAGAAACGGCTGTTCAACACGATAGTATTACTCCGCCAAGTTTGGCAGGAGTTTGCCGCTAACCTGCCAAGAACTTACAGGATCTGCAGAACGAGACATGATTCTGAAAAGACAGAAGGAAAAGCAAAGATAAAGGCGCACATTGAAAAGATTACAGATGTGTTTCTCCCCGCAAGGGTTATAAGCGTCAATTTTTTTAACAGAGAATCTAATATTTAATTTAAAAAGTTACTCAAGACGAAATAGACGAATTAATCAACAAAAGAATAGCTGAGGAGCGTACCTTGTCATCACTACGTGTACTGCTAGCCGTACTGTGAACGTCATCCATGCTGTAAGACAATTATGCTTTCAAAATATAAGCAAGCTCAACATGGCAAATTCATAATAAATCAATGACAAAAACTAAACGATTCCAGTGTCTTTACTCGCGCCACTTGATCATTACTAAAGGGAAAAGATACGATGACAGCCAAGGAAGATCAGGTTCAAGGTGCGCGACGCACCCGGCGATCACGTCATGTTGCGCTATGGATACGTCATTGATACGCCTGAACGTCAAGCATCAACTAGAAATCGTGTAATCGATTCCCAGACCAACTCGAAAGCCATTTGAGGGCCATGCCGACTGAGGAATGACAGATGCAGAGAGCAAGAGCATAGGAAAAAAGTTGCAAGGAGGCGCGGGAAATTGGTTTGAGAGACCATTTTCTGGATTGTTAGCCAGCGCTAGGAAAAGAGGGAAGAGGAACAGCCAGCTGTTCAATTAGAGCGAATTTCAGGGGAAATGCCAAGCTAATTTAGTTAGTTGTAGATATTGAACCACTGGGAAAACGCCCACTGAGCAAAAGGAATTGAACTCGACCGCGTAAAATGCTCTCACATTCTTCGCAAGGATTTTTTCGGCAAAAATCGAGAAGATATTGGAACGAAAGGTTTGCTGAGGCAAGTGGAGACTGTCAACACGCTGTCGCTACCAGAACATCCAAAAACATGGCTTCAGAGCGACAGCTAGAGAAAAGCAGA